GACTGAGAGCCACAAGAGAAGACTGTCTTCTCCCAGCATGACTCTTCCCTTTCATCTCTGAGTCCTTGAGGACAGGGACCACGCCTGCCTCACTTTATACACGCTCATGCCAGCCAGCCAGGGCAAAAACCCTCACTGAGATGCAGCTTCCTGCACCATGAGAGAGGTGGCTAGGCCTCTGCTGCTTCACTGACCATCAAGGCCTGTGCTCAGGGGCCCATGGCATTAGCCAGGCCTGTCATGGAATGAAGGACAAGAATGGGTCCTGGGCCCACTGTGGGATTAGGAAAGGAGGACAGAAAACCTGGAGCTGGAGTAGAGGGATGGAGAAAGGGCACCACGTAGCAGGTGAGGTGCTGGGAGACAGAGAGGACCAGATTCCCAACAAATCAGGCTGGGCTTGCAAGGAGATGGCCGTTCCCATGCCCAGTGACACTGAGGTCGGGCCCCTGAATCCTTGGTCTGCATGAGAGCACAGGGGACAAAGGGGCCCTGAGAAGGCCAGAGGCAGACATCTGTTTCCAGAAGGAGGGATGGGCTCTGCCAATGGCCCCTTCTCTGTCTTATCCCTCTGCTCCGCCACAACTTCTCTGAGTCCATGGCTAGGCAAGGAGTATGCTAGGGGCTTTCCAGAATGTACTACTTGCAAGGTCAAGACTGTATAGAGGCCACGGGGGCAGGATCCTGGACAAACTGCCTGACCTGTGGGAATACAGACTGCGGAAGGGAAGCCGATCTTTGCAGTAATACTGCTGGCAGCTGGGGTACATGGGGGGCGGGAATAAAGAGAGAAGCCAGACCAGAACCTCACACGCAGTCAATAACCCATAGACACACATGGACATAAAGAGAAAGATTCAGACTCGAAGATGACACACAGAAATACTAGAGTAGACAGAGACATGTCCAGAAAACCACCTGCACAGACACGGGAACACCCTGAGTCAGATGTGCCCAAGCAGACACAGGCACAAACACACACGCACATACAAAGGCAGACTTACACAACAGACACAGCCCATCTCGCAGACCCGCAAACCCAAATGCAGCCCAAATCCAAAGCCCCTCTCCTCCGCAATGCCTCCTAGGCCACCTCAGACCAGGTTTGTCTCTCTCATCTCCAAACTCTGGTTGTAATTTCTGTCCCACTGCCTGTCCTTTCATAGGGACAGTCTTGGATTCCTCTGGTCTCAATAATTTGACTGTGTGCTCTTTCAAGGGTCAAGGGCTGCAGTGAGTCTACTGCCCTCGTCAGCAGCCTCACCCTTCACCTCCACACCCATTTCCACATACACAAAAAACCAAACTCAATGCCATTGAGTCGGATCCAACTTACAGCAACCCGTTTGGGTTTCCGAGGTGGTATCACTACAGAAGTAGATTGCCTAATTTTATGACTGGCTCCATCCCTTCAGGGCCTTGGTCCCTAGCCTCTTCAACACAGCTGCTAGAGACACTAAGGGACCACCAGACCAGAGAGACACATCATGCCGTGGGCACTCGGGAAACCATGAAGATGCAGGTCCTGGTTCTCCAGGAGGGAGGCTGGGACACACGGCATGACTACAAGCATGGTGCCAGCCCATATTTAATTTCATTTCTTCAGAGTTTATTTTTATTTTTTCAGTGTTTTTTCCTCTTCCTCCCACCCCTGGTAACCAACAAAGAAAGTTTCCTTCCATATGTAAACATTTCCTTGACTTTTTACAGTAATGAACTAATACAACATTTGTTCTTCTGTGATTCACTTATTTCACTCA